TTTTCTGTAGAGAAACAAGTGAGTCTATGGAGTGCTGCCACGTTGGAAAGGCTAGACTTCCTTACTGCAGCTTGGAAATAAGTGTAGATATAAAATGTTCCAAAGCACTTCCTGAAACAAAAATAATTTTCAAGTTTTCAAGTACTTTAAATTTTACAGACTTTCCTTCTTTCTCCTGGAAGAAGCTCACCGGTACTTGATGAGCTCACAACCCAGTTATGAGAGAGAAGAAAGGATGTGTCCATTCATTTGTTCTTACATGCAGATTTGATCAGTCTTTCTCCTTTCCTTCCTTTTACTCTTTCTTTGCTGACAGGCAAAAATGAAGTTGTTGTCACTCCTGAGCAGCCTTTTCATTGCCACTCACATTGACCTGAAGTTCATATCCTCTGAAGTCCAAGCAGTTGAGGTGCTCACCAGTGGGTTTTCTTAAAAAAAGAAAGGCAAAATGGTTTCTCTCTGATGGATATATCAGTTCAGCATCAAGGAGTGGAGGTGAGGAGTCTTAGAGGGGAATGGACATGAAGTTGGGAATTGTTATGTAACAGATTGCCACTGGGGAAAGGAGGAAAGGGACAACTGTGCTTAATTCCCTTCATGAAAAGAGAGATTCATTAGGTATATGTTACCCTTTTAATCGTAAAATTAATGAGATCAGTCAAGGATTTTTTAGCAGTTAATTGCTAGAAGTGCTAGTTCACAGAATGTGGGTGCTGCCACTGGTGAGCTAAACACCTTAACCAGCCCCATAAAAAGACTATGGGTGGATCCCAGTCCTGTTGTTCCAAACTGATTGTGATGAGACACAAAATGTGACACCGGTCTTAATCACTATTACATTTATGCCAGTAATACACAGTGTGAAGCCTGGTGGAGAACATGGCTCATAGAACAGCCCAAGGTTTAAAGACCAAGTTACAGTCATCTTTTCCATGTACACAGAACAAGAGAGCTCCAACCAGGGAAAGCTGTTATGCACCATTTGAGATTCTACTGAAATAGCACTGGAAAAGCTCCAGGGAAGTCTGTAGAAATTACACAAGGGATTCATCAGTTTGACAAGCCTCATCTCTGCAAGGTTTAACGTGGCAAACACAAAGACAGCAACAAAAGTAAAAATCTATTTTCAAACAGGACTGTAGTAAGGAAAATACTCCCAGTCTCTTTAAAAAAATAATAATAAAAAAAGAAATCGCATTATGGATACTTATAGTTGTCTTCTGACGCCAAGGCATTCACACTCACTTAGTCAAGGTTTTCTTCACAGTCACTTTAATTAAAGACTAATGCTTTCATTTTGTATCTAAACAAAGCAAATGTTATAACCTGGAGCCATAGCAGTGACCCTAGGTGTGCTGCCAAATCCATGCAGCCCATTTTGGTTCCACAGCAAACTGAAGTAGAGAGGAGAAACAGTGCAAAAAGAAGTCGCGATCCAGCGTGGAGCTGGGCAGGCACAGCATTCCTGTGCAGGCCTTGGAACTAGGAAGTGCTCCTCTAAAGAGCTCTGTTAGAGCTGCTGCTTTTAATAATAGAAAATGAGGATATGAACTGGCAAGACCCGAATTATTTTCCTACAACGTATTCCTGAAGCCTTTGCTGTGCTTCATATCTGTAATGTGCAGCTACTGTGTGGGAAAGATACAACCTTCCACTGCATTTGCGCAAGTCATTCCAAATTTACCACTTTTTGCAACAACAAAATTTGATCAGATGACTCAACACATCCAGGAAAACTGAAAAGCAAAGGAGAATTAAAAGGAACTGATGTAACTGTAGGTTATATCAGTTCAAGTCCCATATTCTTTCTATACTTAAGCAAAACTCCAGTTCAACTGCAGCAATGAATACAAGCTCAGGACTTCATTGTAGATGTTGTGAGACACACTGAAACCTTCTGAAGAACTCCCAGCTATACAGTAAACCTTAAACTTAAATGATCTGTCAGTTATTGTGGTATTCCAGAGAGAAAGAAGCAGGGGAAAAAAAATAATCAACTCTCTGAGGCTTTTTCCCTAGGGTGCAGTTATATGGCTTTTATTATCCACACGGTAACTCATATCTGCTGTTGTTAAGTTTGGTGCATCATGAAGCAAGCTGTTAATGGAAATGGTTTCTTACAGTTTTCTATTTTGGAAGGGAAAGAGGGCTGTCATGAAGACACGGAAATTTATCAAAGCTCGCTACAGATAACTGAAGTGTTGCTTATATGTGTCTGCCTTCTGCAACTTCTCAATACAATGGCCAGTTACAATGTTGCAGGTTATGCTCACTTCGTCTATGAAATAGACTGGACAGCTGCATTTGCAAATACAACCCAGTCTCTTGAGTCACTAGCACTGTACAATTCCACTTCCTCATACAGACTGATATTTTGTGGTGATATTTCTTTCTGCTTTCAAAGATTAATCAAAAATCTATGGAAAAGAAAGAAACTCTCAAGACAAAAAGGACATCTGCCTACTTACTACTACTGCTCTTAAAGCACTTAAAACTCCAGTTTCTTTTCCTGAGAGCACACATAAGCTACATGGACCAAGGGCTGCAATAATTCACCTTTACAGATGAGAATGACTTGCAAATGTCCAAGAACTGTCTCAAATAATCCTTATGTGACTTCAACAAAACAGCCTAAGTAGGACAAACTGATGGCACTGAGAAATAATAATGGGATCAATAACTGCAGGCAGATTACAATGCAGTCTTTTAACTACCCACTGGAAAAAGTCACTGGGAGATGGAAGCAACCTCCCAGTTTGTTGAAGAATCACCAAAAAGACCTACCTTACAAAAAACCCATCATCAATTGGATCAATTAGCTTGTCCTTTACTGAGCAACCTGGGCTGTATGCAGTCACTAGTCTATCGTTGCTGTCTCTATTGCTCGTGCTGCATTGATGCAAATCCACTTAGCTAAGGTAATAAAACTCTTACGAATTTCAATAAGTTCAGAATAAAGTTCAATTTCCTGTGTAAACATGAGCTGAAAGGCATTTGTAGACATTGCTGCACTGTGCATCACAGTACCTCTGTTTACTGCAGTAGCTCGAACTTTATTAATCTTTTCCTGACTCTTCCAAAGGAAGAAGTGACACATAAAGGGTGGTAATATTTTCACTCTCCTGCTAATAAAACATCAGCAGATGCATATCAAAGTAGGAACAGTATGCTTGACTTTTGTGATGGTGAGTCAGTAACACATAAGCTGTGTTATGAAACAAATGGAACACAACCTGAACGTGAGGAAGCACAAAAAAAAAGCCAAAACCCTGCCCTGATGTTTAGGATGACAACAACGTGAATAAAATGTTCCATGTGCCAAGCATTAGGAGCCCAGTCCAACTTTCTCTGAAGTCAACAGGAAAATTCCAGTAACTGAACGTTACAAAACCCAGAAACATGGCACAACTGTGGAAATGCCACTCGTAAGACACAGCTCTCTGTCTGACTTCGATTCTTACTGAATGAGAACCAAACTCTCTATATTAAAAATCCCGTATTAAATGAGAGCACTGAGCATTAAAACCTATTCGCACACACCAAGCAGCTGAGACTGCCTTCATCAGATTCATGGTAGTTGGAACTGAGATGTAAATACACACTTGAAGATCTTCATCTCAGCACAGTACTTCAATAAAACTGCTTTGGTTGTCAAAATAAAATTTATTCTAAGCAAGTTATCTTTGCTGCTTTTTTTTGGCTCCCCCTTTCCTTTTCTGCAAAACAGGCAGTTCTTCAGGACTCCAGGCCTCTCAGATTCTCATCATTTATTGAAAATCTGCCTGAAGGCTGAATACAGAAGAATGGCAGCAGTGCTGGTAAATAACTAGCCTCTCTTGTTCTGCTGTTACAACTGCAGCATTAGCACCATCTAAATAGTTTATAGACCAAATCGAGAATCCTAGCTCTTCCAAAGGGACTGAAAGCAGAGACACAAATGGCTCGTGACCCAATGGAGGATTTGTCTGAAGTGTGGCTGTACTGCTGCCCATGGACAGGCACAATCAAACTGGTTGCCTCATATTTCTGGTCCAAATAAATGCCAGTAATTCATCACTTAATCTGACTTCTGAATGTAAAATATTTGGGGGATTTTATTTTTAGTTCTTTGTTGTGTTTTGTTTTTTTTTTTTCCCCTGCATGTTATTCCATTTCTGAATTCAATCATACAAAATACATTATTCTTGTTTGCTCTGGAGAGAAGTCCTAAGTGGCTCTAAAGTCCATCAGGGAATAGCTGATGAGGAGTCCACATATTAAAGTCCACAGACACTGAAAAATTTCAGTTAGCTGGGACTGCAGGGAATTATTCACATCTTCTTTCTATTTTACAACTCAGCAAACCAGAGGGAGAAATAAAACTCCACCAACACAAACAAAACGCTCAAAACCCTGTTTCTTCTTTCCTGTTACTTGTTCTGCTGACGATCTATGAACGTACCCATATAATTTCACAATTTCACCTGATATTTCCCCCTGGGCCCCCCATATCCCCATTATCCCGTATTCTCCTCTAAACCAATCTGCAATTTGACATTTCCAGACAACCTGGGCGATAGCAGCGAATGCACAGTGTATGGGAACTGCTGAGTCAGGCCTGAACCTCTGATTGATCACCTGAGGTGAGCCATGAGTCAGCCAGAGGAGCACAGCTGAAGGCAATTCTCCTGCGCTGCTGGAAGCTCCTAGACCCATTTAAGAGCTGGCTAGCAGTGGGGAAGGATCTTTTCTGGTGATCTGCTTCGCTGGTGTTTTGTGAGCGAGCCCAGGATAGGGGTAAGCTTTCTATTGATTCTCTTTGTTATCACAGTCTGCTTTGCCTAACTGTCTTGTTTATCTTGTGATTATAGCATCCTAATATTCTTTGGTTAAACGCATAGTGTTAGGTGGATGGTTGAGCTCCGTAATCTTCAAGGTCTTTTCCAGCATAAATGATCATGTGATTTTTATCACTTTCTTCCCTTTCATTTCTATTCATCTTCCCTGCATTTTTCTTATCAGCTAAGTCAACCAGGTCATTTCAGAGCTTCAAGACCTCAGCTGGGCCCAAGCAGCCTCCCTGGCTAAAGGTTGTTTTTTTTTTTTTCTCTCCTACATATATATATATATGTGATATTGTCTGAATGTTGGTTAACATTAGTGATGTTTCTGTAAATGCTTCCTATTGTACCTCAGTTACTTCTTTTCTCTTCTATCTAGTTCATGTTTATTCAGGAGTCTTTTTCATATGAAATCTGCAGTGAGAAGACTACCTGATCTCTTTTTTGAGCTTCCCTTTATAAATGCAAAGTCAAGGAAACACACCTTAGTGAACACAAACTGGGGCACTGCTATGAGCTATCAATTTGCATTTGATCTTGTTATGCTCAAGCAAGATTCTCACATCCATTGAATTATTCAAATGTATCCATGTGATGTAAAAAACCCAGGTGTCCAGCACCAGAAAACCACTGAATTGAGACAGAACGAGCAAAGACAGAGAGAGAGACTCAGGGAAGAGAGAAGAAAAAGTATACCTGAGAACAATAGGTTCCCAGTCCTAAATAATGAATCTGAAAATGCAGGTGCATTTGATGTGTAAAGTGACTGAATTACTAATGGCCATATGAAACGCTGCATTAAATATAATTGCTAGCTTACAAAATGTAATTGTATGTGGATAACGTTTTGAAGGCTGCCCTCATTTTTGTCTAGGAAGCTCAGTGTGGTCACTAATCATCAAACAGAAATGGAGACACAGAGGACAAAGTGCATGTTCTTGGCTCACGCGGGGTGAATCCCCCTAACTCAGGCTGGTCTCTGTATTTGCTCTGTGCAGCACACAGCAGTCACAACGGAAGGCCAAGCAGATTTACCAGGCACCATAAGCTTCCCTGCCCACGGTCAGTGCCTTTACCTTCCTTTCTATTTCTTGAAAGTTAAGTTTTCTTTGGTAGCCATCTGGGACAGAAAGTACATTTCTCCCTGCTGATCAACAAACACACTAAAATCAGGAATTAGGATTTTCTACAGTATGCAAACACTATCAGAATATTCAGTGACACATAACTGGCAAAGCAGCCATAACCAAGATAGTTTGTGATTGAAATCACAGAATCACCTGGGTTGGAAGGGACCTCAAGGATCATGTAGTTCCAACCCCCCTGCCTAGCAGGGCCACCAAACATACACATTCAGATCAGGTTGCCCAGGACCCCGTCCAACCTGGCCTTAAACACGTCCAAGGACGGGGCATCCACAACCTCCCTGGGCAGCCCGTTCCAGGGCCTAACCACTCTCCTAGTAAAGAACTTCCCCCTAACATCCAACCTAAATCTTCCCTCCTTCAATGGAAGGTTTCACAGCAAGTCTATTTTGCACTTTCTAAAAAACGTATTCAAACTTTGTTAAATATGTTCTCAGTATATGGGATACTAAAGAAAGAAATGTTACTATCCACTATTTTATTCAGCATGCCTTTCAGTAGTGGAAAGAAAAGGGAGCCTGAGTGCAGGGCAGTAAGCTGCATTCATGCAGAAATTTGTTTCATGGGAAATCTCAGGGAGGGAAATCTTTGCAAGAACAGCTTCCATCACACCTCCCATCTGCAACCTGCTTTGATCCCCAGAGGCATGACTGCCAGCTACTCAGCCTTTCCAGGGGAGAAAGAAATGATTCCACAGTTCCACATGGTAAGTTTGATGCGTATCCTTCACCTGATGTGCCAGTTCCAGACTGAGCAATCAGTTATCTGTACGAGTGGATCTTATTCAGGGTGCTTTGAAGATCAAACTACAAACTCTGGGAGAAAGAGCAAAGAACAGATGAACTACAGGAGACTGCTTTTAATACTTTTGCAGAATTAGCTATAAAGTCATTTAAAATCAGACTCCATTACACTTGAAAACACATAAGAACTCATTCAAAAATTTAAAGATACGATTGATTTTTCACATATATTGTAGATTCCCTTATCTGAATACATTATCGTTCTGGATCACAAGCTGTTCATCCTTTTTGGAGTTGATAAAGTTGATAAAATGGCTGCTCAAATTCAGAATAACATCTTTTTAGAAAACTTAGATAAAATGAAATGAATTAAGGAGCATTCCATCATCAGATCGTAGATTTCATTTGTATTATTTTTAATATCCAGTTTCTGCCATTGCTTGTTTTACTACTTTCCTGTATTTCTCCCCATGACTCATTGTTGGTAAATCTGAAGCACTTCATTTTAAATGCTTGTCTTTTGGAGATCAGTCATCAACTACGACTACAGAGACTGACAATCTCTTCAGCACAATGTCATTTCCCTTCAGAAACATGGGGTTTTATTCTCCACTCTCTTAACTTTCTGTTATTCCCTTTAGTTGCACGAAGTTAGTCTTCATTCTCATCAGCGTCGATGAAGAATCAATTCAATAATTGGTGATGAACATAACTTGGGAACAACGGATTGCAGACTATTTACATGTGATATAGTGATGGTATATTGTCAGCAAATGCTATTTTAAAGGGAGTTTGCAATTCCTGTAACAGAACTGTGTTCCTGACTGAAAAACAGAAAGTATCAGACCACAGGAGTAACATGAAGAACAAAAATAGTCTAACATTTTCAAAGCAGAAGCAAACTTCTAAGAATGGGTTAAAAGTGTATACTGACTGCTCTGAACATGTGCATATTTCTTGTAAATCAAAATATAGTTTTCTATGTTGGCTTTTTTTTCCCCTTGCTTGGATACTGAGCCAGTGACTTCCTGTGTTGCTGTGATGTCCAGCAAAAAGCCTGTTGGGATATCACAGCTATTAAAGAGTGAGCCCACACAGAGTGGCATGTGTCACTGGCATCATGTGAAGTGATCTGGATGGCTTCAAAAAGGTACATTTTTATCTCGTTGCCCACGTGGCTTCTTTGGCTGTAGATGTGGTGGTCAGGCTGGGTAAATAAATACTTGTGTGAGAAGAAACAAAACTCTATGAAAACTAAGCCCAGAACATACCTTGAAATCCTCCTTATACTAGCACAGTACAGATGAACCTGCCTGGTATACTACATCCTATTTGTTGTTGTTATTGTATTCCTAAGAATACAGAACTGTCCTCATAATTTTACTTAGCAGCTTAAGCAGTAACACTTCTCTGAGACTATAAAAGAGGCTTTGCTCCATGACAACCTGACTGAAATGTAAGCTTTTTCTGTTTATTTCAGCATAATTTCTTGATGGCCAAGAACTTGATAATCTATAATGAGAGCGAATGAACTTCCAGTCAGAGACCTAATGTTAGGTCTCACAGGTGGTAATTTGAACTGAATATCAGTAGGTAGGAGTCTAATATTACTTGATCTTATGGTTGCAGTCATAAAGCCAAGTTAGAAACAAGCGCTCTTTTAGCTTATAATTCACTAAAAACAAGTGAAAAGAGAACCCCAGAGCTTCTGAGTCCATTCATCTCAGCGATGCTTCACAATTAGACTTAGGCTGCTGCCTAGAAATTGCATGTGATCTGCTTAGGAGAGGTGCTGATTCTACAATAGACAGGCACTGGAACACCGAGCAAAGTTTTCCAGGCTGGGAGGCCCATTTAACTCACCATAACTGGATGTGGACTTTGTCACAAACCATTAATTTCTCTTCAAGTAATCCTTATTCGCTCTTTACCAGTCCAAGGAGAAGGATAGTCTGAGCATATGCTCACTGGGCTTCTTTCCTACTGCTCAGTCTTACTAGCTGTGAACTATTTTGCAGTAGCCATTAAGCGCTATTCAGTAGTGAGTCCAGAAAGCAGCTCCTACGGTGAACTTGTGGCTGCATTAACTGAATGCTGGGTATCTGAAAGCCAGAAAGCAAAAGGTAGTTGGGATGTCTGTCCCACAGACAAGAGAAGAAACAATAAATACGACAGAGTGAAGGAGCAACAGTGAGAATCTGAGAGCCTTGGAAGACAAGAAAAGAGAAAAACACATCTCAGGGACTAAGGGAATGGCATCACAGCGTGTCTGTTGAGGTGTGGATCTTCTGTGGCTGCAGATACTTTCTGATCAGAAAACACCAATAGTCAAAATGGTGGAAAAGGAAGAGAGGGCGGGGGAAGGTAGAGAGACTCTTGAGGATGGGGACAATGGAACACGGGGGAGGGAAAAAAAGGGGGGAATGTAAAACAGGCAAAAGAATTCAAGGCAAGCAAAATTACAGGTAATGGGAAAGAAATCAAACTGATGTGAGTTAAAATCTGGAAGGAAAAAAGGGATCTTTAGGAAGGAAAGGCTGGGAAGGGGAGGAGGGCGAGTTGCTCTGTAAGTGAGAGAGCCATGGGAATGTGTGGAGCTCTGCCTAAGGATGGCTATAAGCCAGCTGAGAGTTTTCAGGTTGGTGTTTGGTTGCAATTAGTTTCCAGCGCAGAATATCTTGGGCAACATTGCAGTGGCTATCTGCCGAAGACTTCCTCATAATTAAGAAGTAGTAGATAAGATGTTCTTAATGCAAGTAATAGTCCATGTGTATACCTCTAAGCTCTCCAGAGGCTCTGGGTGTGTAGTTTTGCTACCAGAGTATGCTGAAACTTCCATCTTTGGCAGCAGCAGCGGCTACATTCAAGTTACAGAAAGCATGGCTAATGAGTCAATAAACATGACTGTATTCTACCCAGTATTCAGGCACACTAAAGGGAATCTCAGAACTGATCCTAATGATCTGGTTCAGATCCTCAGAACTGGAGCCTAATGGGAATCCTTCAACTGATTCCAGAAAGAGGTGACTAATAAATGCTGCACAATGATGCTCAAGGCAAGCTCACTGTGCAATATATTTATAACTGGCATTTTAGAAATCACAAGGGGCCATGAGTCACGTCCTGTCCTTAACAACAGACTCATGCAACCATTTCGTAGAATCACTTTTAATGACCAGGATCCAACTAGGTCTGACTCTGCCCTGCGTTTCTGATGTTTCAGAGACTGACTGCACCCGTGATTCCAACATCAGCTGGAACAAGTGATCAAAGTCAGCCAGAAGACTGATACATGTGTTAAGAACAGAGACACCTCTGGATTCCTGCCTACCCCGATGTCAGAATGCTTACTACCTTGTAACAGAACGGATGTCCTGGTAAAAGAGGACAAAACCACAAGGCAATGTTATTATTTAATTATTAATGCTATCATGAGATCAAGCCAAATGTTTTTGACAGCTTCTCTCATAGCCTGTCCTGCATTATGATGAGGAAAAGTAATGAACCTTTTTGCAAGGACAGACCAAGCTCGTGTATCAGAGAGCAAAGGCAGCACAGCACAGGTGTCATTTCTTACATTACTTTCTTTATTAAAATAAAGTACTTGTAAGGCTCTGGGTGGTTCCACGTAAATGCTTGCAGAGAGGACAGATTCCAAGAAGCAAAATAACATATTTTCAGTGATTCAAAGCCACGAAGCAGAATGATTTTCCTAAATAACAGTGTGGAAAAGACAAGTGATACATGCTAAGACAAGCTGACAGGGATCCAGGTAGATGTGCACAAATGTGACTGGGACTGCTGAAAACCTGAAGCTCAAGTAACATTCCAACAATTCTAATAGGGAAATCTGCCCTCATCGATCTGTGCCCATAATTAATTCACTCTGATCCATACATGTTGAGAGGATAGCTCCTGCTAGCTGCCTCCATTACTTTCAGGCCCTGACTTGCTCTGCTTGGAGTATTGGTTAGGCATGATGAAGGAAATGAATAGAAGTGTGAGGCAGGTAAGGAAGAGGTAAAAGGGTAAAACACATTGATTTGCACTGACATGGGGAATTAGTCATATGAAGGGGAAGACTGAAATGAGTTCGTGAAGGATCCATTTTAGCATGTGTCTTCCCTTAATGTTTTTGTCCATGATGTGGTCAGAAACTGAAGTTTGCTGATGAAGATGGGAAGCAGCACCAGCCAAGATAAGAACTAACACAGAAAAGTACAGCCCATCTCAGCATAGAGTGTTTTCCTCAAAAGCAAACAGGACAGGCATCCCTAATAATTTTTTAAACAAATCGTTTTTTGAAGATGAAAACTATAAAAGTGAATACACATCAAAGTAGACTCTAAAGGGAAAGAGTCTCCTTTAGACATATAAAGCAGTGCAGAATTTGCAGTATAGATAGAAGTATGGAATTCCATGGTAATTTTCAGTCATGGTATCATTGTAAAATCATTCACTAACCAAGTCTGTCTTGGAGGGCATTTACCTGACTTCTGGGCCATAGCTGCAATTTATTACATAGCATAGCATGCTTGCTTTTACCTCATTCAGTTAACAGTGGTCTTTATGTAGGTTTTAAACTCGATACAACCTTCCATTCAGACACCCAATGCTCTAATATTCTGGCCTAAATCTGTACTGAAATGCTACTTTTAAGGCTGGGATGAGAGTAATAAGCCATCACCTCGCAGATTCCTTTTTGTTCTCCATGAAGCATGTATCTGAAGCATTGCACAAAACAGCCTCTAATCGATCCTGAGCTAGGGGCCAAGCAGCAGGAGTCCAACCCATGGGTCAGTGAAGGTAAGTGGTAAGTTTCCATTTGATTCTGTAACTACACAGGGATTTTACAGAAACTTTGGGCATTCGGACAACCTGCGCTCCTGAGAGAGACAAAAACTTTCACACTGCTCCTCAAAAAAAAGAAGTCGTGGCCGAGTTTGTGGTGGTAGCACTACTTCACATCCAGCTTTCACACAGCTTTCACATAGCTGTTCTCATGGATCCTTTTGCAAAAATAAAAAAAAAAAGGGGGGGAAGAGGGAGGGGAATTAAAATGGCCCCTTTCCTCACTCTTACTGAGTACCTGTGCAAAACTGATCTTCCACTCCAGGGTTTCCTGTTTGCATACCACGTTTTCACCCAGTTCATATCTGCTTAAAGGAATTTTATGTAAGGGGGCTCACAGAGTATGAACCTCTTGACTAGATCCACTGATGTGCCTCATGCATGCAAGTATTTGACCAAAATTGCAGAATAAACTTTTGCTTCCTTATTCAGTCTGTGAAGTCTTGAAAGCTTCCATACACCTACATTTTATTTTATTTCTAAAACACTGCATTACAAACAGATTTACCAGGGGGCAAGTAAAAGAGCTGCAGCTCCTGCTTGAGCCCATTTACAGTGCCCAGATTGATGTGTTCTCTGTGTCATATGACAGAAGATACGCTGTGCTGTTCAATGGCACCCTTATTCACATCCTAACTGCACCCAGCCCTGATGTATAGCAGTACTGTGTGAACAGATTGCTTTCATGACAGTTTTGAAACTAAGAAGAAGCCAGTTTGAATTGCAATTTTATTTTCAACCATTCTCAAGTGATGTCTACAGCCTGTGACACAACTGACTCCAACACAGAGCTGATCACACCTGTGCTAAAGTGTCAGTGTAAATAAGCAGACAGTTCTGAATGGTTACCTCATATAAACCACACAGCTTTAAAGGGCAATTCACGGCCACGGAGAAGTTTGGAGTCCTAATACTGAGTTGGCAAACAATCTAGCCACCTCTTTTCAGTCCTCATCTTCTTTCTTAAGTGGTAACTGCATAAAAACATGCCAAGTGTAACAAACTGCCCCCAAAAATACATCAAGGACAACTTAAATTCTGGGTTTCTACATAACTGGAATGCTGCTACCCAGAAGACTACAAGCTTTGTTA